CCCTTAATTTTTCATTTGATCATTCTAACCTCTGAAAAGCTACATATAGAAAAAAAGAAGGGAAAAAAATAAAACAATGCTGGCTTCATGAATTTCAGAAGAAAGAGAAGACAAAATATTTTCTGAACTATAAATTTTCTCATTGTTATAAATATGTAATTTACTGCTTATTGAAAAACTGGAGTGAAGATGTACTTTGTAAATATCTACTATTATAAGCAGGATATTCAACTATGTGTTAATCCGCTATATGCATTTCAAGATATTCAATCTGCCATGAATAATTCCAGTGACCTTTAAATAGAAGAGAACACCGAGAAATTAATTGTAAAAAGAAGGAAATACTCTAGTACAGGTAATAATTTATATATTTCCATGAAAAATTACAGGTATCATCACTTTGGTCTCTTCACTGAGGTTGAGGTTGAACGACTGAAGACATCTTCTCCAACTAGACCTTTTAGTATTTTATTATTAGAATTTATCCCTTGGCAAAATATATTAAGATATTCATGCTGTTAAATTTGTTCTATGAAAGCTACAGAGCAATACTAAATATGTACCCTTAAGAGAAATCAAAATCTTGTCCTAATTAACAAAAAATACAATATAGAATAGTTGATTATACACATGCGTCAGCAAAACATATGGTTTTCTTTTTTTTATCATCACTATGAAATGTGTAATTCAAATTTTTTTACAAACTTTGATTATTTTATCATTAATTCACAGGCCCATTCAAGAAGTTAGAAAATAGGATATAAAATACTAAACCTAAGTGAAAATTTTGAATCATACTAATACTCTTAAAGTTATGCCACTAATCACATGCAAATGACAGATTCATTTTTAAATCTGGTCTTTGACCTTCACCTTCTTCTTGTCAGGAATTCTGAATTAAATATTTCTGAAACTAGAAACAATTTGGTGAGTACAGAGTACTGAGTGTTCATCCATAACAGTTTGTAATCCAGTAATATTTTTCCTGGTTATTATTAAACATTAACATAATTTGCTAGAGGAAATGAACACATCTGTAAAACTCTCTTTTTATGTGTTTTTAGTCCTAGACTTTAGTGGGTTTTCTAAGGAACTGAAATGACTACTTCCTCAAAAAAGTAATTAGAAAAAAAATCATATAAAACCAACTGTATCCCAAGTGGCAATTCTGACAAAACATATTGTGTTTTAAAAATCTGCTAAGGAAGAAAACTGTCCAGCCAGTACTGCTTTACTATCACAATAATCGGCCCCAGAGATGTGCATTGAAATAAAGGTAATTCTCCACTGGATGCACAGTGCTAGATGAAGTATTAAGTGTTTAAGAATAATACAATAATTACATCATCTCTTGAGTTTTCTTCTGATGAAGTAAAAAGTATATTAAAAACTCAGTCTAAGAGATCTGTGACACAAAACCAGGAATGAAACACGTAGTGACTAGTATAAACCCTTACTCTTAAATCTTCTCTCACATAATCTAGGCAAATTTTAAAATTCCTACTCTGTACTGTGGTGCCTCCTCAGAACACCTCTGGCAGATCACATCCATTCAGATAGCGGTAGACAGATCACTATCTACTGTGATCACTGTTGACAAGGAAGCAATTTGCACGTCTCCTTTTGCATTTGTCTCCTACATAGTTTCCTTCAGAAGGAATTAAGTGTTCACAAAATCAGTCTGAACTAAGATAATAACAATTCGGGGTGGAGGGGTGGGGGGGTAGTGGCTGATGATGGGATCTGCTTTTAAAGTCACATTACTTCTTTGAAACTGTTAAGGTATGTTAATACAGCTACAGCATTTGTCACTTTATCTCATTCCATTTATTTTTTTCAACCACTTACCACTTCTTAGATTTTATTTCACAAATGCACTTGTAAATAATGTTCTAGTTAATCATTTGTGATAAGTTTCTTTGGAGCTTCGAGTAGTAAGGCCACTTCTTATTAAAAGTGTTCTACTGTGTGGGTTAACGCTGGCTGACTGCCATGTGCTGACTAAGCTGTTCTCACTCCCCCACCTTAGCAGGACAGGGGAGAAGATGAGAAACCTCATGTGTCAAGATAAAAGCAGTTTAATAAAAACAAACAAACAAACAAACAAACAACAACAACAAAAAAGACTGCATGTGGAAGTAAAACAAAAAAAAATGAAAAATAAAACCAAACCCCAATCCATAAACAGATGCATTCTCTACTTCCCACCAGCAGATGTCCAGCCACTTCCTGAGAAGGAAGGACTCAGTACACATAGAAATTGCTTCAGAAGACAAACACCTTAACAGCAAATGCCCCCCCTCAAGTTTTCTAACCTTTTAATGTTGAGCACATCATATGGCGTGGAATATCCCTTTGATAAATTTGGGTCTGTTGTCCTGGTTATTTCGCATCCAAACCTCTTTCCCACTCTCAGACTATTGACCTTGAGCAAGAGGTTGAAGGGACAGCCTCAGTGCTCTGCAAGCAGGACTCAACAACAGCCAAAACGTTGGTGCACTATCTACCTCCTTCTAGCCATAAATGTGAAGCACAGCACTGCAAGGGCTGCTATGGGGAAAGTTAACTCCATCCCAGCAAGAACCAGTACATCTACATTCAAGTAAATAGTAAACAGTTGGAACAAATAAAAATGCATAAACTTTAAAATGATCCAAATATTTCTGGGAAGAATAAATTACAGTATGAACAATCTTTTTAGCTGCTTGTATTGAATATTCTATATTATTTTTCTTAGCAAAAGAGAAAAACATTTAATACTTCAGTTGCCAAAACTGTAACTGAGATTTTGCTTTCATTAAAAAATGCAATATATATTTCATATACCATATAAAATATGTGTTACTAAGATGCAATCTGATCCAACAACTTCTTATCCAAAGGGTTTACACATAAGTAGTGAAAGTCCATTAAAACACAGCAGACACTAGAAACAATGAGTTCTGATATATACAGCAATCTTTAAAGAAACAGTCTGTTCCTAAATAGAGATGAAAAATAGCTGGTAATATTTTTCGCTGAATCGGGAAGAACCTTATGATGCTGTAATTTTAAAAAACATGGTATTTGCAGTTCCCTTTCTTGAGAATCAAATATGTAGCCACTATTTCCATGAATTTACAGTGTTTTTTTCCATTGATTTAATACACTCAATACTTCAATCACTTTGAAAACTTTTCATATAATTGCATACCAAGACAGATCACAGTATATGTACTTTGGTAGTGTGTTTGAAACAGCTGCTTTAACTATAGAGGAAGGAAGAAAAACATACTATTGTGATAATAAATCTGAAAGTGAGTACATGTGTATTATAATATTTTCATTGGAGATTTACAGAAACAGAGAATTTTTGGTTTGAAATTTTTATTAATTTAAATTTTCTAGATCTTAAAAAAGAACGATTGAACCTTGTTTTCTTATTCAACTATAAGAAAATAGTTTTAGGAAGCAGTAATTTAGGCTTACAACTTTTACCAGTGTTTTTTAGTTTACAAAGATTTTATAACTACAGCAGAGTGACTAGTTTCTGCCATATAAGAAATTCATCATTGAATATCTCATTTTGTAATTAGGAGGAAGAAATATCCCTTTCATATCTTTTGTCTAAGGAAAAGGAGAGAGTGGATATTGTCTCTCTATTTTAAATATTCAAAGGAAACCAATCTTGTTAAAGTTGTTATCATAAAAATTAATTTTTGCCTATGAAATGTGAGGAACATGCCCTCCTCTGACATTATGGTGGGATGACCTTGGCTGGATTCCAGATGCCCGCACAGATACTCTCTCACCCCCTCTCCTCTACAGGATAGCAGGAGAAAATAAGATGGAAGGGTTCGTGGGCTGAGATAAATTACCCTCACAAGAAAAATAGGCTTGACTTGGGGAAAATTAAATTTATTGCCAATTAAAAATAGAGTAGGATGGTGAGACACAAAGACTAAACTAAAAATAACTTCCTTCCCTCTCACCCTTCTTCCCAGCTTCAACTTCAGGCCTTTATTCCTTACTCCTCTACCTACCTGCCACCAAAAAACTCCACCACTCACTCAACCCAGGAGACTCCTCCCTCTATGCACAGATGGGGAAGGGCAGGTTATGGGTCAGTCCATAACAGGTCCTCTCTACTTGTCCTTCCTCCTCTGTTCACCTGCTCCAGCAGGGGGTTTCTCCGATGGGATACAGTTTTCCATGAACTGCTCCAGCATGGGTCCTTCCCACAGGCTACAGTTCTTCAAGAACTGGTCCAGAATGGGTCCTTTCTATGGGGCAAATCTTTCAGGAACAGACTGTTCCAGCATGGGTCCCCTGCCAGGAGCCTGCTCTTGCATGTTCTCTCCACAGGCCACATCTTCCTTCAGGGCATGTTCACTTTCTCTGACATGGGGTCATCCAGGGGCTCTAACACGGATATTTTCTCCACCATGGTCCTTCCTGGGCTGCAGGGGTATCTCTGCTCCAGTGCTTGCACCAGCTCCACTCCTTCTTCTCTGGCCTTTGTGTCTGCAGAGCTGTTTCTCTCACATTTTTGATTCTTTCCTCCCTATCACATATTGATGCTCAGTGTTTTTCCTGTGTCTTAGATGTCCTTTCACAGAGGTGCTACCAGCACCACTGATGGGCTCAGCGTTGGCCAGTGGTTTGTTCCTTTTGGAGACTGCTGGAACCAGTTGTGTATGGCACAGGGCAGTTCTTGATCTCTTCTCACAGAGGTCACCCTTGCAGCCCCCCTGCTAAAAGAACCTTGCCATGCAAACGCAACACAGACAAACTTTCAAGTTATTTGAATAAAAAATTAAGTGCTTCCTACTTTTGAAAAATCAAACCTATAATGTTGATGATTTAAAAACCATCTTGCTAGGTAATGTTAAGCTCAAATGGTTTAATCTTAAAAATACATGTTGTCCATCACTCCATCTTTAAATGCTATGGACTTTTTTCCTAATAACATTATAAACTTATCATATTAAAGATGGAAATTAAACTTTATTAAAAAAAATTTAGTCTATGCATCCACAATTTCCACAGTTCATCATTCTGCACTTGAATTCTGTACAGGTCCACTACAAAACATATTCAATGAATCAAACATTTAATAAACATATATTTACCACAATAATTAGAGATAATACAGAAGAACAGGTATTATTCCCCAATATTAGTTTATAAGTTTGTTTCAAGGTCATATTTACAGATGAACTAGAAAATGTTTTTTCTATAAACAGCATGTTTTAGGTATTGATCTATACCACCAAAAAAGGCTTTTTTCATCATTTTATCCTTTCCTAGATGAATCAGTTACATCCATTTAATATTTGTTGATATTTGTCAGATAATAGTTATTAATTTAAATGGTATTCTCCATTCCAAGAAGTACAATCAATAAAACTGCATAGTAATAATGTCTGATCTCAACTGTTTTATCAGTTCTGCTCATCTTGTATAACAGAAGTTAACCTTTCAAAAACTGCATATGGAAACATTTTAAACCAATATACTGCCAGCTAAGAATAATATTAATCACATTTTGTGCAAAACTTAATATTAACTTTCATGTTCAGAACTTCAGTCTTCATGATTTACTACCGTAAGTGTCAAAAGACTGCACTAATTCTATATTCTATATTCTATGAGGTATAGATATTAAAGAGCAAGATAATTAATTGTCAACATTAAATCATTTAGACAACGATGTATCGACTTCACTTCTGTATTTTGATACCATGTTTAATCCTTCTAAAACTGTTATTAAAGAAAAAATGTTGTCAGTTTGTTTATGTTCTTTAAAAGTATGAATCAGCCATACATCAATCAATAACACTATGTTGTTCTAATCAATTACAATAGATCTCCCAAATCATCTCACAAATACAGGTTTTGGAAAATCTGGGGTATTAGGCAATTGTGTTTTGCTTTGGAATTCATTCCATAATACACTACACATATCCCTTGTGTCTACTTGTTAAACAAAGCCCTAATCTGATTGCCTTTGTTAACCTGAACATCTAACCATCACCCATATTTTACAGAAATCATCCCTCTGTACTGTTCTAACCTTGCATAGAACATGTTATTTTATTTGAACTCAAGCTACCACCCCAGGAAAAAAGGCTCTTGAATCAGATGTCAGAGCTATTATTTTCAGGTTATTGATAGCATTAGAGCAAATCAGATAGAGACAGTCTCAGAAATTAGAAAGGTTCAAAAGTGACATTAGAATGGCTCTATATAGGAATAGACAGAGTCCATCTAAGATATAAATTCAGTTAGGCTGGAATCCTTGAAAAGCAATTCTCTCCTTCCTTAACTCCTCTTTTTCATTTAATGGAAGCAGAAAGATTAAACAATATGCTAACTAACCCTACAAACCACTGTCTTCTCCACATATGGCTGGCCAGGTCTTCAATGCCATGACTGATTTGGGGATGAACTCATTGCTAGAGTAATTTTTCTCATAAAGCTGTTTCTATTTTACTAACTTTTTGCTGCTGTGAATAGAGTTCATTGTGGCATTAAGGGTTCACCACAGTCTTTCTTTCCTCTAATACTATTGACCTTTTATTTTACTCATGCCTTGAGCAACCTCATCTGACTTCAGAGCTGACCTTGTTTTGATCGAGAGGTTGGACTGCAGATCTCCTGAGGTCCATTCCAGCCTGACCTGTTCTATGATTCCATGATTTGCAGTTCTTGTAAAGCAGAAATAGAAACATCTCCAAACAAATCAGTTCCCTCCCTAGCCTTTGGATGATAGTTGTTATCAATCCATCAGATGATGGATTATATAGTTTTGCCTGATGCTAAAATACAATTTCTAATTTTCTCTTTTAAACTGATAATCATAGTTTTGCAGACAATCTTATCATAAAATCATGAGCTATGAAAAGACAAACACTGCAGGGACATTCACTTTTATGATAAGGAAACAGATGACTATACTCCATCTCCACCTTCTGACTTTGATAAAAAGTTGTGAAGTTGTGTCAGTTAGAAGTGTGATACTGATAGAGCTGCTACTGACAGAGTTGATCACAAATGTCTAATATTCTATGCAAGTAACATCTTTAAAGACAAACAAACAAAAAACTTAGCACAGCCATATAACTAGAAGATATATCAAATTCAGTAACATATCTTAGCAGGGGAGCATCTTTCCAGGCAAATCTCCAATCTTAAATTATTTGCATTACAAAGAAATCAGGAAAATGCTGATATGATATGTTATAATATGATGTGATAAGATATGATAAAATAAACAATAGTAAAAGAAAACCCAAATCAGGTGTTTATTATGTAAGATATTTTATAAAGCTAAGCTATACACATGAATTGAAATTTGATGTTCCTGAACCATCACAGAAATACAGAAAAATCATATCATTACATTTAAAAGGTGACTTTAAGTACAGAACTTCTCTCTCTTAATCTTTGCCTCTAATCCTAGTTACTCAATAACAAATGCACATACATGGACCTGTTCAAACAACTCCAGTGGAGGGCCTCCCCTGTGAGGACAGGCTGAGAGACTTGGGGTTGTTCAGTCTGGAGAAAGAGAAGGCTCTGGGGAGAGCTTATAGAGACCTTCCAGTACTTTAGGTTGCTACAGAAAAGGTGGAGAAAGACTCTTTATCAGGGAGTGTAGTGATAGGATGAGGTGCAATGGTTTTAAAATGAAAGATGGTAGATTTAAATTAGATGTAAGGAATAAATTCTTCCCTGTGCGGGTGGTGAGGCACTGGCACAGGGTGCCCAGAGAAGCTGTGGCTGCCCCCTTCCTGGAAGGGGTCAAGGCCAGGTTGGACGGGGCTTTGAGCAACCTGGTCTGGTGGAAGGTCCCTGCCCATGGCAGGGGGGTTGGAACTAGATGATCTTTAAAGTCCCTTCCAACCCAAACCATTCTGTGGTTTTATGATAAATAACATTAAATTAATTGTTATTTAGGCAAATAAGAATGGTACTGTTTCTCCCTGTCCCACTTGTAACATAAAGTACGGTACATTTACTACTTGGTTGGGGGTTTTTTTGCTATCTCTTTATACAGTTTTCAGAGTCTCAATGAAAGTGGGAGCCTTCTGAATTACTACTTAATTATTGGCACAGAAAATTGTAAAACAAAGGAAATGCTCACAGCTAACAGTCTCTGAATAATTTATCACATCATTTTTAACAGTGCAATAAAGTTTAAAAGTGAATAGATCTTTGGATGAATTAAAAATAAGAAATAAGTTTTTCCTTCTCTTCTCTCTTCCCTAAGAAGATATTCAAAATTCAAAAAGATAGAGAAATGATTGGTCTCACAGCTTTTTTTGCTTTGACCTTTCTGAGGAGTATGTAGCTACCAATGCTTACTTAATCTCTTCTGTTCCTCCCAGTCTTCACTTCTGCTCCCAAGTCTTGTCAGACTTGTCGTTTCCCCCTGCTCCTTTTAAAAATGAAACAATATTTCTTTCTGTTTCTGTACACTAAAGAAATTCAGAGTCACTGCATTCTAATTGTCTAGGTACAAGATTCAGACAGGGCTGTTCTGTCTTGCACAACACTTGTTTTAGGGACAAATTTTGCCATTATGAAATTCACAACTCAATTTAGTTAGTGTTGCTTTATTTTTCATCTCCAGAATTCCCTGAATTCTTTTACCTGCAACTTCAACCTTCTGTTCTCTTCTTCCAAACTTCGCTTTTGTGCTTCAGGTTTCTCTCTTTTTTCCAATTCAGAGGTATTCTCAAACTACAGTCTTTCCAACTAGGAAGGGTTGGGATGGGAGGAAGAACAACCAAAAGAGAGAAGAAGAGTAATAATATGATTAAAAACCTTGTTCTTTACCAGTTGAGGCTAATGGCCTCACCTCAGAGTAAGGCGGGCATCTTAGAAATCAGTCCAAAGTGCATGTTTTTAATGTTTCATAATGGTAAGTACTTGAATTTGAAAAGAAAAATAAAAAAAATTTTCATTAATCGTACCTTTACAAAAGTAAAGTATAGGCCATGTTTTAATATAGTAACTGGTAACCAAATCTTCTTTCTCTGCTATTTATGGAAAAAACAGTATAAAAAAAAAAAATTGGTTTAAATAACATCGAGATTTATTTTGTCTGACAGTATCAAAGTTCACTTAATTATATTCTATTTATACTTCAAAACTACCATAAGAAATATTCATTAAACTAAAGACATTCTAAAGTACGTCTTCAGTACTAGAAACAGCTATCCTAATAACCAGATGAAGGATTTTTAAGTTTTCACACTACTCTGTTTCTTGACATTACAATTAATAGTCTCAAGGGAAATATTTTCATTTATGGGTAATGCTGTAACCTTAATTTAGGATAACCAAGTATTCTGAATTGATTTATTTAATCCACATATAGAAGGAATTAAATATATCAACAAAAGGCCATGTTACTAAGTCATATAAAATAATTATCTAACAACTGATTTTATTTACTCTTCTGAGACAACTAGACAGGAGCTTTGTCAAGAATGCATGACATGTTCCTTGTATTTCAAAAGAAAAATTGGTAAAATGATCTTATTTTTATAGTACAAAACAAGTATTTATTGGAAGTACTAACAGATATTTATCAAAGATTATTATTGGCAAGTACTTACTATTAACAAGTTATTATTAACTAGTATTTATGAGTAGATTAAAAGAGATTAAGATAGATTAAAAACTATGAAAATGGAAGGCTACAGTTCTTTCCAGAGATTAATTAAAAAAAAAAAAAAAAAAAAAAAAGAAGAGAAGAAAAATGGTAATACATAAAAGTCAAAATTTTAAGAAGTTTGCAATTTTCAGTTCTATGAAAACTAAAATTGATTATTTGATAAAAGTAGAGATGGACAACAGTGCAAGGCACTTTACTGAAGAAACAGAATACCTGTGCCAACAAGGTTTTAGGAAAAGCCAGAGAGGTGTAGTTTTTCAGATATAGGTTACTTTTATTTTAAAATTGATTTCTGGCAAATAACGAAAAGCTACTGAACACGATACAAAGAGAATGAGGTGTTACAGCATCAGAGAAACATAATTCAGAACCCGTGAATTGTAGTAATGCAATTATCTAGCTAAATCAAATAGTAAACTTGTCTGTTCCTAACTTGCTTCTGAGCAAATAAAAACAATTAGAAACTCTATAATGTTAAAGAGGCTTATTCAGATTTTCAGATGAAAGTAGAAATGTTTTTTAGACTCTCTAGTAAGGACAAAATTCATATTTGATAGAAAATAACAAGTGACTGTCTACTAACAATGACAATATGTTCCCAGATATTTTTCTTGCTATTATTCTATATGATAAAATAGAGGATTTCCCAAAAGACTGACCAAAGTAGGGGTTAAAAAAAAAAAAAAAAAAAAAGAAAAGGCAAGGTCCTTTTTTTTCTCCAGAGGCTTCATCTTCTCATGACGAAGAACAATAAAAGACAAACAGAAGCACTAATGTTTCAAACAGTTTTCAGGTATAAATCAGATCACAACCATAAGCTATCCATTTGAAAATAAGTCCATAATGTTCAAAGGATTACGTTGTTTAGGTATGGGCACTTTATAAATTAAAGTTGCACCTAAATACTAAAGTATAATCCTTGGAATAAATAGGAAATCAAAGACAAAAGAACTAAGAAATTACAAGAAAATACTTCATTAGCAAATTAATTACATTAATCTCCAAATTCCATTTCTAAGCCAATTCACATACTGTATGGCAATCACCAATTGTATGAAATTAAACAAGAGCAAGTGCTGGATTCTCCACCTGGGACAAGGTAATCCTGGTTATACATGTAAACTGGGGTATGAGAGGCTGGAGAGCAGCCCCACAGAAAGAGATCTGGAGGTTTGGGTTGATGGCAAGGTAGGTATGATTCAACAGTGTGCCCTGACAGCTGAAAGAGCTAATGATGTCCTGGGTTACATTGAGAATGGAATAGGTAGCTGCCTGAGGGAGGTGATTGTCCCACTCTACACTGCACTGGTGCAGCCCCACATCGAGTACTGTGTGCAGTTTTGGGTGCCACAATATAAGAAGGACATCAGACTATTAAAGTGTGTCCAGAGGAGAGTGACCAAGATGGTGAAAGGTCTTGAGGGCAAGAATTATGAGGAGCAGCTGAGGTCATTTGGAATGCTCTGTTTGGAGAAGAGAAGGCTGAGGGGGTGACCTCACTGCAGCCTACTAATTCCTCAAGGATCAGGTGCTAACCTCCTCTCTCTGGTGACCAGCAACAGGACACAAGGAAAGGGCATGAAGCTGCATCAGGGGAAGTTCAGATTGGACATTAAGAAAAGGTTCTTCACTGAGAGGGTAGTTGGTCACTGGAACAAGTTCCCTGGGGAAGTGGTCATGGCATCAAGCCTGTCAGAGTTCAAGGAGTGCCTGGACAATGCTCTTAGTCATATGGTTTATCTTTAGGCCGTCCTGCAAGGAGCAGGAAGTTGGACTCGATTTTTATGGGTCCCTTTCAACTTGAGATATTTTATAATTCTATGAGTCTATATGTAGAAGATGAGTACCAGCTACTTCACTTAGAAAAGTTAATTGTTAAAGAATTAAAAACTGAATGGATTATGTTTAAAGGCATTTTATTCTAACAACAAAAGACATTTCATCAGGCTGTTCCTTCTCATCATGGATTATTTGCTCCCTTTAACAATAAAAACAACGAGAACACAAATGTGCTAATCTCCTCACACATCACCCAACAGAATTCCTAAAACCTTGTCCAGTCTTAACATCATGATACACTGTTGGAAGATACTCTTTGGAGAGAATTCTGAAACAGTTCTTAAAACTAAAATGCACCTTTGATCTAAGGTTAAACAAACCAGCAAGTAAGAAAGAAAGGAATTGTCATGTTTTGAGCTCAGAGGGCAACTAAGCACCACACAGCCACTCACTCCCCCCTCCCTACCCAGAGCTAAGAAGAAGAAAATAAAGCAGTAAGCTTGGGGGTCTGAGCTCAGAGAGCAACTAAGCACCATACAGCCCCTCACTTCTCCCCTCCCCCTAGTGCTGCGAAGGAGAAAATAAACCAAGGTTTGGGATTCAAGATGGGACAGGGAGTGATAAATCACCCACTATGGTCACAGGTAAAAGGCAGACTTGTTAGGGAAGGAAAAAAAGAACACAAATTTTTTACAGGCGCTAACAACAACAATAATTAACAGACAGAATAGGATAGTGAGAAGCATTGCCACATCTTGAAAACACCTTCCCTCCCACCCCCCACTTCTTCCTGAGCTCAGCTCTGCTCCTGATATCTCTACCGCCTCTCGCCAGCAACGCAGGGGCATGGAATAGGGGGTGCAGTCAGTGCTGCTGCTTTTTCCATCTTTGGTGGGGGGAACTTCTGGAACTTCTTCCCCCTGCTCCAGCACTGTCCCCCTCTCACAGGAGACACTCCTCCACAACTTCTCTCTGGCTTGAGTCCCTCCCATGGGCCACAGTGTTTCCCTAGCAGCTCCAGCATGGGACATCAACTTTCTCCAACTTGAGTCCATCACATGGGAGGCAGCCCTTCCCAAGCTGCTCCAGCTTTGGATACCCCCGCACGCTGCAATCCTCCCAGCACTGATCTACAACAGCAGGAGCTGCTTCTTCCCACAGGATCCTGGCCTTCTTTAGCTGCAGCCACCTTAAATGGGCACAAGGGGCCCGTCACAGGCCATAAATCAGTGTCTGCTCCACCATAGATCTCCATGGGTGGCAGGGGGGGGCTGGCCTGCCGTCTCACCACAGGATACAGGGGGGTCTCTGCTCCGGCACACCTCCCCCCTCCTTTCTTCCTCTGTTCCTCCACTGACCTTGGTGTTCACACAGTTGCAGCAACTCCTCCTCCCAGGTCCCTTCTTATATACGTTATTGCAGAGGCGCAGCTGATTGGCTCAGCCTTGGTGCAGAGGTGGGTCTGACTTGGAGCCAGGAGAGCTGCAAGAAGCTTCTCACAGGGGGCCACCAATGTAGCCCCCTCCCCTGTTACTAAAAAACTCCACCACTCACTCAAACCCAGGACAGGAATATATTTCTTTCATACTTTGTATCATATTGGCAGACTAAGTAGGAACTAATTTTAACTTTTCAAACAATTATGCTATTCAGCAGTTGTCTACATAATGGAGTTGTTCTTGTATGAAAAGACTTTATCCAGCTACAAAACTGAGTTCTGGGGGGTTGTCCTTCAGAGTAAAATACAACAGAGTGAAAAGCCTATATATTTTATATTCATGCTACCTCACAGTCTTTAGAGATATATACCAAGCTAAATTCCTTAGAATGTGACAAGCATCTGTAATGAGATTAAACAGGCTATCAGGTAAGGATAATTTTGTATCCTTGTTTTTGGGTTTGGCTTTTTTGGCATAGTCTACCCAGTGGTGACAGAGTTCAAGATGTTAACTCCAATGCACAAAGGCAATGTTAGATGCTCCCATGTTCCTAAGGTCTTTAAAATCTATTCGCTGAATTTCTATAAAATAATTGCAGATGAAGGTATTACATATTTCAGCAAATCTTTTTTCTTTCCCTGCCACCACTCAAACTGTGCAGATTTATGGTTTTTCAAATACTATCTACTGGACTACAATCACAAAAAACATATTTTTTCTAAATAAATATGCAAGCATAATGTCTTATAAGTACACATGAAAGACCTGGAACATGAGACAGCCCTGTGTTCTTGCAAAGCATCTTCCAAAAGACACAACTCAAATTCTAAGCCTGGAAGCTTACCTTTTCACAGTAA